CGTCGGTGTCCATTCGAACGACATGACCAAGCCAGCGGAGCCGCTGTATTTTAATTCGCTGCACTATGTCCATATCGTTGTAAAGCTCATACAGCTCATCGTTCCATCGTCTGCGGTACTCGCCGTCGCCAACGCGTAAAGCACCGTAAATCTTCCGCAAAATCTTGGAATGCTTACCCAAAATAAAATTGAGAATTAATGATAAAAGTTATGTAGCGCTTATTGATACAGGAGCTAGTTTAAGCCTGATCAACAGCGAAGTAAAAGATTTTCCAAAAATTAAACTAACCAACCCACTAACATTTAGTACGCTTACAAGCGAATACACTATTAACTACGAAGTGCACACATTAGCACCAGAAGAGTTTAACTTACCTAGCAACGCCAGAGCAAGATGGAAATCCACTCCGCTCACAGGACGAAAATACGATTTTATAATTGGTATAGATATGCTTAATTTTCTCAACGCTCAGATAGACATTGAAAAAAGAAAGATAATTTTAAATCAAAGAGAAAATTTTTTTTAAATAATCCGTATAGATTAAATCAAATTTGTACTTTGGAAACTACAGATCTGAATTTATAAAGGTTAGCATTAGATCATCTCAATGCGGAAGAACATAAAGAAGTTACTAAACTATTAAAGCGATTTAATAAGTTATTGTTTAGAGAAGGCGATAAATTGACCAACACAACCGAAATTCAACATGAGATAAAAACTACAACTCAACAGCAAATAAACTCAAAGTTATATAGATACCCACCCCAACATGAAATGGAGGTTAGAAAACAAATCAGAGAAATGGAAGAGCAGGGGATCATTCAAAAAAGCCACTCAAGGTATTCCAGCCCACTGATAGTAATGCCCAAAAAGATAGATAATTCAGGCGAAAAGAAATATAGAATTGTGGTAGACTATAGGAAGTTAAATGAAGTCACAATAGATGACAAATATCCACTTCCAAACATTGATTCTATTGTAGATAAACTAGGCAGAGCATAATACTTTACTACTTTAGACTTAGCGATGGGTTATCACCAAATATTGGTTAAACCGGAAGATCGGGAAAAAACCGCTTTTGTTACATCACATGGACTTTATGAGTTCATAAGGATGCCCTTCGGTCTAAAAAATGCACCAGCCACATTCCAACGGCTGATGAATGAAATCCTTAGAGATTATTTGGACCATATTTTAATATTTAGTACATCGTTAAATGGGCATGTCAAAGCAATTGGAGACATTTTTAAAGTTCTCGAACGTAAAAATCTAAAAATCCAGATAGATAAGTGTAATTTCTTAAAAAAAGAAACTGAATTTTTAGGCCATATTCTAACAAAGGATGGTATGAAGCCAAATCCAAATAAAATTAAAGTTATACAAAATTTAGAATTGCCAAAAACAGAAAGGCAAATCAAAAGTTTCTTAGGACTTACGGGTTACTACCGAAAATTCGTAAAGGACTATGCAAAAGTAGCGCAGCCAATTACCAAATATTTGAAGAAAGGGACGAAAATTAATCTAAAGGATCCATCGTACATTGAAGCTTTTGAAAAATTAAAAACGTTAATAAGTACGCACCCCATTTTGCGTTACCCAGATTTTAGAAAACAGTTTACGTTGACAACAGATGCTTATCACAGGAAGGACACCCAGTGTGTTACGCTTCAAGAACTTTAAACAACCACGAAAAAAACTATTCGGCGACCGATAAAGAGTTTTTGGCTATAATGTGGAGTGTTAACTACTTTAGACCATACGTCTATGGCAAAAGATTCAAAATTCTAACTGACCATCAACCCATAAAATTTTTACACTCTAAATACAGAGGAAAGGACATGTCACCACGACATCAGAGATGGCTATTAAAACTAGGAGAATATCAATTTGACATTGAATATTTGAAGGGTAAGGAAAATAAAGTAGCCGATTTCTTGAGCAGAATAGAACATAGTCAAGATATTACTGCGGAAAAGATTGAGAACGATATTGATGACATTAATATGGATACAACCGACTAAAGGACTACTGACATCTACAAAATTGACGGATCAGGTTGGATTCATAGACATTCAAATGCGAACTCAAGAGATAGTCAAAGATACAGATATAGTATTACACTTAATAAATATAAAAGAAATAGAAAGTGTAGTTAATGAAATGACTGACAATATTATTCTAATGAAAACGAACAATAAGGACATTTTACACGCAGAGTTGTTAGAAACTAGAAATAAACTAATGACTTTAGTACCAAACCCAAAAAGAAAAGCAAGGGGTCTAGAAAATGCAATAGGTAGTGTATCCAAATGGATGTTTGGTACAATGGACGATAATGATAGACAAATTATTCAAAATCATCTGCTAAAGACAGACGAGACAGTAAATGAACAGATACACATAAATGATTATTTTAATTTAGCGATAGAACAAATAAAGAATATTGTAAGAAATGATAGAAAAGAAATTGGAAAAAGTGTTAATGTTATAAATAAGATAATAGATGAGGAATATCAACAGCATATGTGACCTGGTCTACGAAAAGGAAGCTTACGTGCGAAAACTAGTTTTCTGTGAAAAAGCTGTTAAAAGTAAGCAACTCGTTTCGTCAATTTCTTATTATCTCGTTAATTAACTCCTCAGCATTATTATTTTTGGCCCATAATACGTTTTTCTAGTGTATAATCATGTCTTTATAGCTTATAATTCAATGTATTTTGTTCATTACCAATAAATTATATTTTATCGTATTTTTACTCTTCTTTCTCTACATTTTTAGTACACTTCTAAGCAAGTTAGGATTTTCTGCTTTTCACCACGTGAAAAAGCATCTCATCTTCCATCCGAATCAACCAAAAAGTGAAAATTGATTTTTTGACACCTAAGCCCCCTTTCCGTAGACCAGGTCACATATGTATTTAGAACAAATGACGAAAATTCAATTGTTAAAAAATAAAATAGAACAAATGCAAGATAATGTAGTCTCAGCAAAATATGGGATTGTGAACCCAAATATTCTAACAAACCATGAAATTACCAAATACAACATTGATTTTAACAAATTAAAATATTTGCAATTAGGAACTGCAACCTTTAATAACACTTATTTGATATTTGGCATTAAAATACCAATACATTTTATAGAAGTCAAAATAAGAAAAATTGTACCAATAACAAATAGAGATCAAAAAGAAATTGAATCAAAAATAGAAGAAGTTTTTACTTATGAAAACAAAACAATGCAGTTTGAAGAAAATAAACATCTTAAACAATTAAAATTCAGTACTCATTGTTTAATAACAAATAATTGTAAACCAGTAACAAATAAAGAACTAGAAATTATAGCTTTAGATGAAAAATTACTCGTGGTTAAAAATGCAAATAACTTGCTAGTTAATAGCACATGTAATAAAAATGAGACATTAAATGGAAACTATTTAATCCAATTTAATAATTGTTCAATCAAAATTAACGACTACTATTTCTCGAATTATATTGAAAATATAAAAGAAAATATTGGAAGCTTAAAATATGAAGATGTTCGGAATTTTACAAAAAAAATAACCTTTGATGAAATTATGGAGGAACATAGATCAAATATAGAAAACATTTTTAAATTGAGAATTCATAGTAAAATATCGAATATATGCAATATTACAAGTATAATTATAATTGTAATAATAGTTATTGTTATTATCAATAAACATAAACGTATAACAATCAAATTGAATACACGAATTCAGGAGAATTCGAATCTAAAGGGGGGAGAAGTTACATATATTAACAGCTACACAAAAACACCTGACGGTGCAATTGATAAGTATGAAGAATTCTTGAAGCAAATTAATAAAGTTGAAACATAAAACCATTTCCGGCATATTGCAAAAGTTGTACACAAAAAGAGAAATTGAAAATCAAAAAGACACCAAATTTCCGAGAATTAGTAAATTGGGGAACATATTGATTAGCAAGCAGTTTTATTTAGTTCACATGGAACAAATTGATTAGCAAGCAGTTTTATTAAATTCATATGCCAAAAGTAATTAGTAAGCAAATATTGTAACTAGAATATAAGCTTCATTTTAAATTGAATAAATAATTTAATTCAGTCTGATTCGAGAGCCCAAACCCAATTGTTGTCTTCTTATTAATCGTGTAAAACTATTTTTTAAAAACGCCCGGACGCCCGGAATACATTTGAATCGCGAGCGTGTTAGGCGAGGTGAAGTGAGCTGTACGGAGATGGCATCGTATACATATTAACCACTACACACTTATATTCAAGTAAAAATGCGTGTTGTATGTGTACTTTTGCGACAACTGAGCCAGTGTGGCATCAGGCCACCAGAAAAAGCGAATTTTTCCAAAACAAAAGCGCCAAGTTTTTATTATCATGTTTAATAATTTTTTTGATTCAGTAAAAAGTGTATATACATATACATTTCCTCACGTTTTTATTAATAAATTAATTTCAATACATGTATAACATTTATAACCTATTCCTCACATTTTATTCAGTAAATGAATTCCATCTTAATGTAGAATATTAGTGTATAGTGTATACATACATACATATGTACCTATGCATTCGGTGTGCTTAAATTAAAAAAGCATCACTAAATACCGCACCAAGCATTGAATTCCAATTATTTTGGCTTTTTGGTTTCCCAAAAGCACTAAATTTAGTGCAAAATGCACGACCTTGGCAACAGTGAGCTGAGCACATCAATGCTCAAACAGTGATGCCAGACCAAGTATTGAGTAAATGCGCTATGTATATTTTTCTTTTAAAGCAAAAGTTCTAATTGGCGAGGTATTGATTTTTGATTCTTACATAGAACACTGATAAGATTCACAAACTTATCTTAGGACTTAATTAAAATAATAAACATTATTTGTAGACGAATATATTTGTGTTCGTATAAAATAGTAGCTTATGTTGGGAGGCTGGCTTTAGTAAAATGTACCATTTTCTATATTCTTTAAACCACAAGGAATTTTTTTATGAAACTTTATACGAATATTGACTTGCTAGCATCGCCATTAACATTACCGTCTTTTACGTTTATTTTCCAAGAGTTCTTCAACGACTCGGCGCCAGTGAGTCTTTCGCAATCGTATGCTGCGAATGGTTCATTATACTAAAGCCAGTCTTCCGACATAAGCTACCATTCTATACGAACACAGATATGTATACTTCCTAATAGGCATGTAAAATGCCCGATACCCAAATCCCTCGCATGAGTTATTATCGGTAAAAAATTGGGTACGCTCAAATCTGGCATCGCTGCAGCAAGTACAGCGCCAGTGAAACAGTGTTGATATTTTAAGTACAATTGTACTTTTTTCAGTACAATTAATTTTAAAATGTACAAAAGTACAATTTGCCGATTTTAAGTACAATTTCAACATCAAAAATACTTTTTGTACCAAACGCTCAAATCTCTTCTAGCACTTTGATTCTTAATCCGTTTACATTTAAGTAAATGGATATACCTATATTTCATATTTGCTACAAAACGAAATTATGAATTGTAATTTTGAATGTAAACGTGATTGTGAACAGTAATATTAGTGATGTGCGTTATGGTGATTGCGATTTCTTATCACCGGCGGGTGAAATATCCCTCATCGCTATTTATTTTGAAAAAATCTTTGGAAATGCAATTTACCTAATGGCGATCCTGCAGAAATAGAAGTAATTGAGCAATTCGAGGGTTGAAAGTAAAAAAATGTATGTAAATTCCATGCGTTGAAATTATAAATTTCCCTTGAGGATTTCCATTTTATCGATAGTGATCTCATTTTATGTTCATTAATATGAACTGACCTATATAGTGTATTAATGTTTTATCATCATTGTCTTCATCTTTGACAAAATTACACGGTCACCCGGTATTTATTTTATTTTTTTAAATAATTTTAATTATTTTTTTTTAAAAAATTGTAGCTCATTATCAAACAAAAACCTTGCAAATAAATCGAAACTTGAAAGAATGAAAAAAATCAACAAAGTTTCATCAAATTTTCACAGTTTTTGTTCAGAATTTGTAGACATGTTTTGGGTCAACAATTTTGTAGCCCATTCATTCTAGTATAAAAAGATGCAAGTTTTAAGTGACTAAAAAATACCATTGATTTTTGAATTTTTCTGTTTGTGGTGTTGCGCACTTTATTCCATATAACGAACGTTCGCATTTTATGTTATATGGATGAATGCGCGTGTAGCGTTGTTGTTTTTTATTCCAATATTTTAAATTAAGCTTTATTTTATAGTTTTTCTTAGACAATGATAAATGACGTACACATATTTCAGTATGGAAAGAAGTGCAACACCTTCAACGAAAAAATTTCTCAAAAATCTACGTGAATTGAATGTACTATCTCGATCATTTAAACATCTCGGACTCGCCCACCACTAAAAATGATTATTTAAATCTAAAGTATATATTAAATGATATTTAATATTTGCTTTAGAGATGAAATTTCGACAAATTTGTTTAAACAAAAATGTTAAGCGCATATGCAGAATGTGGAAGCGAGATTCTTCTGCTTGCGTTTCTATGTTTATATCATTTATCAGTTTAAGCACATACGATTAAATGTAAAAAAAAATTAAAATTTTAATTGCGGATCCGAAAGAAATATTTATTAGTTGGATTAAGTTACGCAAAAATAGTGCCGAAAATCAATCGATTGTGCTGAAGGTGCCGGCTGCTTCCGAAAGGGCCGAAAATGGCACAATGCACACTCAAAGCTTTGCACGCGCAGTCGCCCGCGACACATATGTTCTGATTTGGGCATCCCTATAGTAAACGTGACTTTAACATACCATCTGACTGTATATTGCGTAAAGACTTTCTAAAAAGTAACAAATGTATTAAATATTAGCTATGCAAGCAATTGTATTTCCTTCCTCCTCCGGAGTGGTTTTAAACAGCAAAAGCCAAAGCGCTACAAGCTGTTGGGGCTCTGTATGACTTTCAGCATACAGAGGTGGTACAAGAGCTACCATTGGCCACATGCGCCTACCCAATTTTTGAACTTGAATAAATAACCGGTGCTCAACACTCCCGCTTGACGCATCCCCCCAAAAACTCGTACAGAGTTTAAGCGGCAAAGCCACAGCGCTACAAGCCGTAGGGACTCTGCATGACTTACAACCATGCAGAGGTGGTAACTGATGGTTATCATTGGCTCCGACGCCTACCCAAAACATTTTTGCTTTCATAAATTTTTATGCAAATACATTTATCCTGGTCCTGCCTTCACACTGAGTTAATCAACTCTATTAATAAGACAAATACAGAAGACCCACGAACGAACGAATTAACAAATATCTTGAAAAACCAAATCCCTACAGAAGCTAATACCAATTTATTTGATCTTTGCATAAAATAGGCTGATATTTTCGCTCTGGACATTGACAAAATGACATTTAACAATTTTTATGAACCGCAACTTAAGTTGACTGACACTAACCCGGTATATGTAAAAAACTATCGTCTACCATATTCCCAACGTGAAGAGATAAATCGCCAAGTTAATAAATGACTAGATAACGATTTAATTGAAGGAAGTTATTCCAATTACAATAGTCCTCTAATTTTGGTTCCGAAAATGTCTACTAATGGTCAAAAAGCATATCGTATGTGCGTTGATTTCCGCGCAGTCTACAAGAAACTTATTGCGGATAAATTCCCTCTCGCACGAGTTGACGATATTTTAGACAATCTTGGCAGAGCTAAATATTTTTCTACTTTAGATCTTTTTTCTGGATTTCACCAAATCCCCTTACATGAGGATTCACGTGATATAACTTCTTTTAGTACAGACACTTGTCGAAACTTCAACCTAAAACTTAACCCAAACAAATGCAATTTTCTTTTTCCCGGAAGTTACATTCCTAGGCCATAAATATTCAGCCAAAGGTCTATTCCCAGATGACACCAAAATAAACGCTGTTAAAAAATATACAAAACCGACTGATAAGGATGCGGTTCGACGTTTCGTAGCGTTTGCTAATTATTATAGGCGGTTTATACCAAATTTTGCGTCTCTGGCAGGGCCTTTAAATAAATTAGGCAGGAAAAAAGTTGAATTTAATTGGGACAGTGCGTGCGATAAAGCTTTTGAATCTTTAAAACAGCGTTAATTTTGCCAAAATTGCTAAAATACACCGATTTCA